GAATACTTAATTTTTATACTAAAATCTTTTTTCTACTCCTATTACGGAATTTGACCGTTCTAATATCACTTTTATCTATGGAATGACATATATTCCGTAAAGTGTTACAGAATAAAATATTCTATCATCGGATGACAGAATAAACACTCGTGGCGACCTCTGTTTTTAATATCTAACAAATTTTAGACCGAATCAACCTCACTTTCTTCCAATTAAATTATTTTTCTATGGTATTTTTTGGAAAGGAAGAAAAAGTATAGTCTGAAACACGTTTGGAATTGCATATTCCGCTCTCGTGAAACCGTCAAACTCGCCTTCGGCTCGTGTGACAAACTGTTCACTCGAGCGGAATATGCTGTATTCCAAACTTGTTACAGAATATACTATTATGTTCGTTGAATACACTTTTTAATCGTGGAATGCTCTATTTTATAGTTCAGTTTGCCAATGGGTTGTGCAATACTTTATTTTGACTTGCAATACTCTCTTTTGGCATGTGATATTTGATTTTGGCGTGTTATGTGCTATTTGGGCGTGCAATATTCTATTTTGGCGTGTAATAATATATTTTACACTGAATTTAATTTATTTATTGTGATAAAAACTGTTTGGTCGCTATACGTATTTTTCTATCATCTAAATTACCAAATTTGTAGCTGATACATCTTTTTTTGTCTAATTTTGATATATTTATTGATAGCATCTGATGCGTTGAATGAAAAAATCTGCATAGCTATGGTTTTCTCTGTATTGAGTTTTACTATATTAAATAATGGGTCATTCCATTTTTTTATTTAATATTTTAAGTCTACGCATTCGAGTTTGTCTTAAGGAAAAATGTATAGCAAAAATCGTTTTTTATAATTTATAATGGTATGGTTGTTTTTAATAATCTCTATAATAGAACTGATTTTCGACATTCCGTATTTTGTTTAAAAAATCAAAAAAATCAAAATGGGGTTTAATAAATTCTTAAAGTCTTCTTTTTTTTATAAAAAAACAGATTATTACAATTATATCATATTATACAAAAACCCCGTTTTTAGTCAAATTTAATCAAAATTGTTTTATGACCTCATAAATTATAAATTTTCTAATTGACTGGTAATTTTTAATAGTAAATCATCGTAAAACAGGGTAAATAAAAACAAATACACAAAAATCATAAATTGTTTTTTCTACTCCCACCTTTAAAACGCCCTTTATCGTACATGTTTCCATGACACTAAGTAATCTTTTAAATACACATTGACAAGTTGTGGCTTTACGGCGCTTTAGTCACGGGCTGAAGTTAGCAACAGGTTTTTAGTCACGGGCTGAAGTTAGTTTTAAGTTAGTTGACAGTTGTCAAATGTCATACCATCGTTAAAATAAAGTGCCTTTCTTGTAAAATAATACTAAATGTGAAAATTATTTTATTATGTCAATACAAAAATATTAAATAGTTTCTTAACGCCAATATTTGAAAAGTTTATATGAACATTGTACTGACCTTTTCATTTCGCCGGCAGTAAACTATAACTTAAATTCGGGCACGGACTCCACTGTAAGATACATTTTGATTTGTAACCTTTATAATTGTGTTTATAAAATGTAAAAATGTGAATATGAATGTGACATTTGACAGTTTCCCCTGTTGTTTCATAGATGGCGCTCTATACAAATTTTTGATTTAAATCATTTTAAGATAATAAACTATTTGTCGTAGAAAAAGTATAGTATGCACCTCGTTTATAAACTGTTCTACACACTCATTAACTTAAGCACTCAATTTGTGTATAAAATGGCGTTTATCAAACTTGATACGTAATATACTATTAATTTAATTTTAAAACGTTGAATTTAAGTAAATAATAATAACTTAAAAGCCCAGTACACCCCAGTGTGACAAGGAATATGTTGGACAAACTAAACGATCCATCCAAGTAAGGTTCAAAGAGTACTTGACCCATGCTAGATTTAGTAGGACAGAGAAATCGAGTGTTGCCCAACATATAGTTAATGATCATAAAGTAGGATTTAATAACCTTAAACTTATTAAAGAGTTAGAGAACCATCTCTGCTAGATACTCTCTAAAAATGAAATAGTCAAAATTATACTATTTAAATTAGTACCAGCATTTTTTACTAATAAAATAGTCGTTTTCACTTTTAAATAGTTAATTTTTGCTACGTAAATAGTTAAAGTTTGACTAAATTAAGATTAGTCACCATCTTTGAATATTTCTGAGAGTTAAAATTTCTTTAATCGTTTGCGGCCAACAACAAAGTATTATTTCAATTAAATGCATATACCTAAGCTCCATTGTTAAATGACCCATAAAAACAAATAAAGATGCAAAAAGTTTAGCTCAAAACAGCAACACAAATAATATTTTCAACTTTAAAATATTATGAACAATATTTATTGACAAATAAAATTGATTTTTATAAGAGCGGCTGACAGCCGAATGGGTTATGACAATAGCTTGACAAGCTTGACAAGTGACAGACCTGAGTTCAATCCCCGGTTGGGTCAAAACTTTTTTAAACTTAAATCTACTTATTTGACTATTTCATTTAGTAGAATTTGACTAATTATTAGTGACTGCTTTTTCGCTATGACAATTTGTCAAATATGACTTATAATTAGTTATTTTTGACTAATTCATTTTAAGAGAGTAGATATGAAAGTTCATACATCTATAAGAATAGAAATAAACCTTTAAATAGCGGACCGGTACCCAACTCTATTTTGAATAAATTAGTTTGTTAATTTCTCTTTACGTGTTCACTGAAGCGTTTACGGTCCACAGTTTAGTAAACTTGAAACCTAATATACTACTAAATACTTACTGTATTTTTATAATTACTTTTTACTTTATAATTTTTCACCATGTTTGTTTTAGGTAATCAACATTTTTCAGATATGAATATTATTAAATAAAATTATATTAAATTGTATATTTTCTATATGGCACCCGTAAGTATGGCAACAGTGGAGGGTGCCTGTTTGAATATAATTATAACCAGTTTATACGTGAAGGGTGCTATAGAATAAATGAAGTGTTTTTATAGAATAAATGATTATAAAAGAAAATAATTAAGTCACAAAAGTTTAAAAAGGTCCCTACCGATCGAAGACTATATCTTTTCACTAAATAAACAAATTTTATAATTAAAACAAAAATAATCTAAGAAATGTTTACTTTTAAACGAACATAATTATAAGCCATGGTGACTTATAAGTATTAAAAACGCATCACAGAACGATTAAAAATAACTAAAGCCCGATTGCAAAAACGATTTAGTTTCAATTGATTTTAGTTATTTTAAATTGTTTTTGGTATTGCTTTATAATTATATTTAATCCGAAATTTAAAAAAAAATAATATTTCAATTTTTTTCAATCGGAACTTTTGTTTCTTTCGGTCTAAATCGGAGAATATTGAACTGAGATTTTATTTGGGCACCTGTCATTAAATTAATTGAAAAATATATTTAAAACTATTGAACTAAGATTTTAATCCGTTTTAATCGGCAAATTTTTCAATTCATACCACTTGAAATTGAAAAAATGGAATGTCGCGTTCAATAGTTTCAAAATTATTTTCCAATTCATACCAATTAGAATTAACGAAATCGAACAACCGATTTAAATCTTAGTTTAATAGTATATTATGTATCAAGTTTGATAAACGCCAATTTAGACACAAACTTAATTTAGATACAAGCGAGCTTAATTAAATAAGTGTCTAGAAAAGTTTATAAACGAGTTGCATACTATACTTTTTCTACGACAAATAGGTATAATTATCTAAAAATGATTAAAATTAAATATTTGTACAAAGCGACAACTAAAAATCAATAGAGTAACTTGGAAATCTGTATACCGGCGCGCCGGTCAAAATGTCAAATTTTTATGGGTAATTCAAAATGAATCTCTTGAAAATGGATTGTTTGATCCGATATAGAAGCAGTTTTTTTACAGTAAAGAAAGGGTTTCATTGGCACTTAACGATGGATTCCCCACCCGAAATTAAGTTAAATCTAGTTTACTGCCGGCGAAATTAAAAGGTTAGAACCATGTTCATATTAACTTTTTAAATAATGGAGTTGAGAAGTTATATAATAAAATAATTTTTACATTTAGTATTATTTTACCAGAAGGGCACTTTATTTTAAGGATTGTATGACATTTTACAACTGTCAACTAAGTTAAAACTAACTTTGACCGTGACTAAAAACCTGTTGCTAACTTCAGCCCGCAATAAAGCCACAACTTATCAATGTGTATTTAAAAGGTTATTTAGTGTCAAGAAAACATGTACGATAATGGGCATTTTAAAGGTGGGAGTTGAAAAAATTATTTTCCAATTGGAGTAAATTCAGCTCAATTGAAATTGACAACCAAAATCTTAGTTCAATATTGTCCGATTCAGACCCATAGAAACAAAAAACTTGGTTCCGATTAAAATTAATTAGAATATTATTTTCTTTTTTAATTTCCAATTCCATGTAATTGTAAACGATTCAAACTAATACCAAAACACAATTCAAAATAATTAAAAACTTATGAAATTTTGTATTGGCTTCAATCGGAGGTTTTAAGCAAGGTACCAGAGATATGCGAATATTGTATAAACTAAAACAATTTAGTAGACAGCGTAGTATAGGGGTATACGAGACTTATATGTAGACAGCGTACGGGGTATATTATATTATAACTTATTAGGCTATAATATTACTTATATGTTAAAATTTCATATCATTGTTCAAATATTTTTGTTGCATTGTGGATTGGAAGTAATTTGAGGTTGTAGAGCTTTATTTGAAATTTGAACAAGTTTTAGTCTAGACGATAAAAAAGCCAAAATATTTGTCTGCGGAATGATTTAATATACCTACATAAATGATAATTATCTGAAAGTAATATAGAGTTAATATTTTGGAAAGACAAGAAAAACACATTAATTAAACGTTCTCGTTGATAATTTTGAAAACTCTTTACTGTAATTTACCTCTCTTCATGTGTAACCATTGCCAGAGCAGCTTCGGAAAACTTGTAATAAAATGCATAATCTATCGCACTCATTTCCATATTGTTATAAAGAAGTTTGCAGCTCATCGAGAGAAGAAGAGAAATAGCGTTCGGTTTATTTTCCATCGTTGCTGTGTGCAAAGCCGTATTCTAAAAATAAAAATTATAATGTTAATGTCATAAACAGGTTTTATTGTTATAATTAAGATTTTAAACTGCAGTGTTAGGGATTTTAAGTTTGAACTTAGTTTTGCTGAAACTATAACAGACCAGTGATGTTATGGAATATTAAACACCTCAAAAGATAAATTTTAAAGAACTAAACAAAAATTTAGTTTTGTATAATTTTAAATCTTGTCATATTAATATGGAACTTCCTATGGTAAGTTTGACAACAAAAATAACGTACCGCTCCGAAATTTAAACATTTTAAAACTACCCATTTATATAATCTTAAATTCTTAATACATTTTTAGTATTGGTGTATATAATAAGATTAAAAAATAATACCTTCATTCATAAAGATATAATAATAAAAATATTTATTCAAAAGTAATATAAAAATTAGGATAAAAATAAAGACCAAAGTTTTCAAATACTTTAATCGGGGTTCACATTTTGAACACGAATGATTGTAATAAAAATATTAGTATTGTAAATCGTATTTAATTATTTTTTAAATAAATAGTATATTATTATACGATAGAAAATGCAGGCTATTATTCACGAGGATGAGTTTGCATCTCTAGTTGCCAGAAGAAAGACTCAAATCATTCAAGAAAATAATGCTCATAATCTCGATTGTAATATTATACTTTATCTACTTACTCCATTAAGTAGATAATTAAATGATTTAAAAAATGTAATAAACAAAATCTGACATATTTCGAATGATTAACCTGATATACCAATAATTGGTAAAATTATTTTAAATGTTATATCTCCCAATTTAAAACCCGATTGGTTCAAATCACAGTGAATATTAAAATCGCTGATACCCAACAACATGAATAATAAGTTCATTATTCCCGTTGTTAGGCAGAGAATTTATAATGTTTATCATTATTCACGAAAAATAAAACAATATTATGCATCAAGTTTGATGAACGCCATTTTGTCCACGAATTTAATTTAGGCAAGAGCGAGCTTGCGACCGGGTGCTTAACTAAACAAGCGTCTAGAAAAGTATATTGTAGTCGCCTTCTCCCAATTTAAAACCCGATTGGTTCAAATCACAGTGAATATTAAAATCGCTGATACCCAACAACGTGAATAATGAGTTCATTATTCCCGTTATTAGGCAGGGAATTTATAATGTTTATCATTATTCACGAAAAAAACAATATTATGAATCAAGTTTGGTCACGAATTTAATGTAGGCAAGAGCGAGCTTGCGACCGGGTGCTTAATTAAATAAGTGTATAGAAAAGTTTATAAACGAGTTGCATACTATTTATGCTTTTTTACGACAAATACCTATTATTATCTAAAAAAGATTTAAAGTAAATATTTGTATAGAGCGATATATATAAAAACATTCTTGTGTTCTGTGTGGGATGTCAAATGTCAAATTTTTACGTGTAAATCGAAATTTATCCCTTGAAAGTGGAACTAAATCCGATATATTTATATCTTATATTCTTATAAGCAGTTTTTTACAATGAAAGTAAAGCTATTTTTTTAAAGATACTCCACGGTGGAATCTCCACACGAAACCAGTTAAATTTAGTTTACTGCCGGCGAAATCAAACGGTCAGTTTAACTGAATATAAACTTTTCAAAAATTGGCGTTAAGAAACTATTTAATACTATTAATTATTATTATTATTATATTAAGATAAAAAAATAATGTTTGGATTTAGCATTGTTTTACAAGAGCACTTTATTTTAACGATTGTATGATATTTGACATCATAAAACTATGATTTTTTTGTTTCACCTGATTAATATTGATTGTACAATATTTAGTGCTACAAATCACAAATAACAGAATTTTTTTAAGTATTTACTTATCTGAGGGCCGGTTTATCAATCTCTGGTTTAGTTTCAGTTAGTCTATCCATGGAGATTATCTGCCAGATAACTAACTGCAACTTTAACTGGCCCTGAGTCTAGAACATCTTGATTGGAAAGAAAAGAAAAACGTTAAACGGACTTTTTCCATAAACACTTATTTTTGTTAATCTGTAGTCCAAATGGTTTTGTATTGCCATCCAGAAAAAAGTAAGTAAAGTATTTTTTCGTAGTATGTGCAATCATTATTTTTAGAGGTTTTTTGCTACTTTAAAATGGCATTCTTATTGTTTATATTAAATTAAATTTCTTTGTAATGCATTAAGCAATTGTTAATAAAATTATGTGATAACAAACAAAAATAATTAAATGTAATTATTCCTTTGTATATTATTATTATACGAGAGATAATGAGCGTTATCTCGAGTGTTATACTACTCGTATACTTTATCTACTACAATTAAAAGATAAATAAATAAATAAATATAATCTGACATCTGTCAGATGGTTAACCTCACTTTCTACCAATTTTAAAAATATATGCAATATAATAGATAAAAATATACAGTTAATTTTTTTTTATCTGGACTCGTGTTTTTTTTGTTAGGTTGGTGGCTTATGCCAGTTTGACTTAGTATTTTTACTAAGTATTTAAAAATGGTACTTCTGCTAATGAATTTAATTAAATATTTTGACACTGTCAAATTGACAATAATATTTACTATTGACTATTTCCCTCGTCTTAATTTCCACCAATCACAAACGCGCAATTTTGAATTACAAATGGTTTCTAGGTAAAAAAAACTGTTACTCATGAAATAGTCTTGTCAAGTACCATTCGGGCATCTAATTTTTTCTGTGAAAAAAAATCGAAAAAACACAATGCTAAGTAATATTTTTTAACAAAATGCATTCGTGCAGGTGCAAAAATCCTCCTCTTCGACTCGGATTTTTTTGCCACCAGCACTCATGCTTTTTGTTAAAATATTACTTAGCAACGTGTTTTTCGATTCTTTTCGGAAAAATTAAATGCCCTTATGATATTACTTACGATAATTTGTTTCTTACATGAAAACGTCGTAGTTGAATGGCATTTAAGTCACTTTGATAACGGATAAAAAGGAAGGTAACTTTTGCAAGTGGATAATTATTTATTTACCTCGTGTCATTTCATTTCCTTGACAACCTTGCAAATAATTATTTTTTAATAGCAGGTGTCAAAAAATCTTTTAAAATGAATCGTTTTGGTGTCGTTTCCGGCGAAAAACAATAAAGAACAAATTGTAAAAAGTATCCCAAATAATTCTTTAATAATAAATCGTCAATTTGGCGACAATATATGGCATTTTGTAATGCGAGGAATTACAAACTACTCGACTCAATATCACAGCAAGATTTAGCAAATATTTTGCTTGATTGGGCATGCAATATGAAAAAAATTAATCACAAAATTATCTCGTCGAATTACACTCGAGCTTTTTTTCTGGCAGGATAAATTTATGTTTTCTAACTTTCAAACTTGTTACCTTTTAGCAATTTGACTCGAAAAAATGTCATCTGACAAAATCGCTCGACCTACGGTCTCGCAATTTTGATTGATGACATTTTTTCTTGTCAAATTGCTAGGTAACAAGCTTTTAAGGAAAACAAAAATTTATCCGGCTAAAAATAAGCTCTTGTGTAATTATAGTCGATAATTTACTTGTCAAATATAAATACAAAGATAATTATGCCAAAAATAATAGCAACGAATTCGAATGTAAAAGCCCTTTTGAGGGCAAAACTTCATTTTGATGAAATTATGCCAAATGCCAGAATGGAAGAAAAAGTACATCGCCTTATGGACATTTTTGAGAGTAAAAAAGTAACGAATTTGGTTTTATAAATATTACATCACACATTATTTTCACATTATTCACCATTGGACAACATTTACGTTCACAAAAAAATTTAATTTCTTTTATATAAATTCTTTTCAAAGCGAAGATTATTATCCGCTAGGAATACTTTCTCTTCTGGGCCGTAAAGCAACCTATATTTAACTACTTTTTTATGTGATTTTACTCATCCAAGCACAACCAAAGCCAAATTAATTACATTTTTAACTTCGAATTTCGACAACTCAACTTGACAACTGCAACTGTAACCTACAATAATTTATACATAACCACAACTAGCTAAGTTTGTTTTAATCAATGCGACCAACTTGACAACTGTATTTACTAACCAAAACCCTAAATTTGCAACGTTGCCGCAGTCCAGATAAAAAAATGAACTTTAAAATATAAAATACAGCTTAAATAAAAATAACAATACATCACAGACCTGTGCAATACATATATTAAATCTTGGTAATTAATGGATATATGAGGAGCAAGTTTTCAAATCGCATTATGTCCTTCCTAATACATTTTCGAGAAAAAGCCTTCTTTTTTTTTCTTGGTGACCAAAACCCTTAATGGTCTTGGTATCAATGTACTATTTTAACCAGCGACAAGTGTCTATTGATTTTCATAGCTGTACAAGTAGCTACTTGGTACAAAAAATCAACCACGTGTACATAACCATTCTATATAATTTTATATTTTTTTTTTATAAAAAGATCAATCGAGGATTATTATGGAGAAGTAGAGGAATATTAAACTTGTATGGAGTATTAGTTTGTTTTGAATTTGTACCTACTTTTTATTGGTTTCATATTGCACAAAATAAAATACCTCTCTTTTTAACAAAACACATATAATAGGCAGTTTTTTAACAAGTTTTGGTAAAATAAGAAATGGATAGTTATCTGAAATATCTTTAGTGTAAGAAGGGAAGAGTTTGGTTGTTTGAACGAAACCAAGGCCGTAGCCAAGGAGGGTCCTAAATTTTAGAAAATTAAACTTAAGAAATTTTTAAGAAATTCCACAGACGGCTGAACGGTTTAGCGTTAATGTCAATTCACCGCCAAATAAATATTGACACTGATGAGGTTATTAATATTTAACCCGATCCGAATTTGTGATTTTTTGCCTACTAGAATTTGGAATACCAATATATTGGAATTTAACATGGTTTGACAAAAAAATCAAGGAATCCAACTATTTATCAAAGCACAAAAGTTATGGTGGCCATTATAAAAACAAAAGACAGTGATGCTAACTCAATTAATAGTAGCAAAGAAACTGGATGAAATTGTAGATAAAAACTTACTTTTTTCAAAATTTCCAGGAATAATAAAACTATAACAACAATTTTTGGTTCTTGGTTTTTAGTTTTTGTTAAGATATTTTAAGAATCGCTGGCTTTTTTCCGATTTATAAATTTCATTTTAATAGGCTTGTAATTACGGAACTTTTCTCTAAGTTAACCGACTTTGTAGCTCTTCAAATAAAATACCAATAGAAGTATACACATAGAAGGATAATTGATGCACCCTGTCACAGGGTCCCTGTGTAGGTACCTTCTAGGCAGTCAGTTACTAGCATTACAACAGGATATTTGTAAAAACCTAGTTCTGCAGAAGTCATGACTTAGCGCTTAATTATTTGAATGGTGTTGAATTAGTATCAAAAGTAGGTGACGCTCATTTATTGACCAAAAACGGTTAAGAAGACTTAAAATTATTAATATTTAATCAACGAATTTGCTCAATTAAAGGTTATAAAGTAAAGTTGTTATTTTTAATAGGAATTAATTTTTTTCTTTGCTTTTGTTATTTGTTAATGTTTTTAATTCGTAAATCAATATTTTTTTAAATTAATTGTGTATGCCCCGAGACCCATATTTCCTTAATACGACCTTGATTCCGAAAATCCAATCTTGCCTCCTCTGGGCCGTAAGCAATAATTGTTATGATAATTATTATAATAACAATAAAAGTATAAAGTTAGGTTAGATAGCTTTAAAACTTTTAGCCAACGAGGACTAGGATAAAATCTTGGTCTAAATTATTTTTAAAGCCTGGGAGATAATCGAATACTTTCCTGGTGAGCGTTGACAATAATAAAGCTTAATTTATAGAACGCTTGAAGATAAACAATATTTAATACATACAATCTAAAAAAGGGTTTAACTATAATGTGATTGGTAAATAAAATACATTACTATAAAAAAAATCTAAAAAATAACAATTAAATTAAAATAAAGACTATAAAAATAAGTGGGCAAGTTACAATATACAATAGGTGAGTTAGCGGTCTATAAATTAAACTTTCAAGTTATTAACACTAGAGACTGAAGCAATTTATTATTTTCTACGTCCAAACAAATTATTGGGCTAGTAATTCGTGTTGGGCATCAGTAATTGACCGATTTTATTGATCACTGTGATTTAAATCAATCATAAAATTCTACTCCTGTCAGACGACTTTAACCTAACTTATAAAAAATATACAACTTGCAGATGGAATTTTGTTTGTCTTTTGGGACAGACTGTTTTTTTTGTGCTTCGCTCAAACTTTGTGCTCAAAAAGAATAAATTCTTAGCCTAATGACATAAAGAACTATTTATCTATTTTTGAGGACGATTTCATTACCGGTGAAATCTCTGGGTTTTAGTATATAGTTTTTTCAAATTTGCTTAAACGATTAAGCATTTGCGTTTTTCAGATTTACAGGTAGATCAGCGGTCGGCAAGGGTCACAAAGTGTCAAAATGAAATAAAGGTGTTCTGTGGGTCAACTCGGTAGGTTATCACAAATTTCAGTATTGGCGCGAAATTAAAGCAATTCCGAATGGTAACCCCTTTATTTACAAAACAGTCGCGACCGCAAAAAGGAGGCTTGCTGACCGCTGAGCTAGGTCATTATACCCACCCTCTAAGCTGCAAATAAGAAGGTTTTTGACTTATTTTTTCTTGAATTTCATACCCACCTCGTTTATGCAAATGACAGGAACATCCGTAGGATGTCAAGGCACCATAAGCCAAAAGGTCCCTATATCAAAAAAACACTCTTAGCACCAAGCGCACAAAATGGAAAGTAGCACTGAACCAACATTTATATGCGTGGTTTATACTGGATTGACTAATATCGTCGGCAAGAAGGACCCTGAGCCCTTCTAACACTTGTAGCCCATTTGGGCCAACATAAAAAATTTATTGTATTTTTCGGGAATCTTGTGCAAATCATTCCATCTTTAATATGTTATGTAATTTAAAATGTAATTTAATAAATCTGTTTAATGTTTAATGCGGACTATAAGCCGTGGGTTTCAATCCCACATGGGTATGGCTGTTTATTTGTGTTTGTCCACGGTTAAGTGAAAAAACAACTAATCCTGAAAAGTTGCCCAAAGGTTAAGTGCAGTTGCACTGTCAAGTGAAAATGACTACAAAATTAAATATTGCAGATAAGGAATTTTCGCTTGAGAGGGTAGCTGCACTCAGAACCTGGTCATTTCTACTTACTACTGTCTACATTTTCCGAATATAATCTGAGACACCCTGTATATGTATAGTTTATTAAAATTATTAAAAATATTGTTTATCAACAAGCTTAAAATAATAAGTATACCTTTATTTATAAAGATATATCATATACGATATTACAGTTTATTAAATAAGTTAAAATAATACCTTTAACTGTATGTTTTTAATACTCAAAAGTATTAACAAATGTTTTAATGTTGCAAATATTCCAATGTCGAAATGTATGAAATCTACATATTAAGAAAATTGATACCTCGTTAAATTTATCAATTTTCTATTCTATAATTTTTTAAGGTTGGGATATAGAATTTCAAACAAGTCAATACAGAAAACACACGAAATAAATGTCATTATTTCGCGCTTTGGTAATAAATCTAACCTTGTTATAAAAGAAGTCGATAAAAACGACCTATAAAGAGTAGACTAAAATGAAATAGAAGGAAACGTAATGGGAAAATATAACATAAGATGATAAAAAAGCTTATAAAAAGGTTGAAATGTATAAACTTGCATTTGAAAAAAAAAAATAAAAAGACAAATTTTAATATTGTTTAAAATAGAAAAAATTAGGAAAAACTAGTAGTCAAATTTATGCAAGAATCTATTGGAACTTATTTAGTTATTGACATTGGTGTTGGGCGCCATTGTGCAACTGCAAAAGTTATGAGAACAGCTAGCTGTTCTTAGTTCGGGCATTGTGTGAAGATAAGGCAAATAATAATGATGTGAAATTTTATGTATATCAAGCCTTAAATGTACAATTTCAAATAAGTTCTTAATTTTATAGAAGAGGCAAAACGAGCCAAACCTGCCACCCTTCAGCGATTTTAATCAAACGTTGAACAGTTCATACGAGGTATGTACTGGCACTCAAATATTTATTAAATTAAGTTAAATTTTTTTTCATAGAACTTTTGCAAAATATGCCATTTAAAAGTGGTTAAACACACAATTAATTATACAGCACTTACTGTTATAAGTTTTATTTATGCGAGCAATTGTTTTTCCTAAATAATCGGTTATTACTCGTTACATATGCAAAATATTTAAAAGTATCAAGTATACAAATTTGTAAAACTAATTTTTTGTATCAAAAATAATATAGATTGTTTTTTGATAAAATAAGCCATACGGCGAAAATGCTGCAAGGGTTGGATGGTTGAAAACTTGGATTTAAGCTTTCCATATGGTACCACTGTTTTTAACTCTAAAAACAATGATGGTACCCTAAAAATTCTTACCAAATGAAATGATATAATAACACCTAAATATAGTGGACTAAACGGTACCTATGCATATATAATTTATTAAATTTTCTAAATACTCTTTTTGAACAAATGTTTTTCACTCCCGTCTCAAAATTATGTTGTATAAGTGAAAAAATAATACCCTGTAATATTAATATTAAATATTTTTTCTTGGCGGAGAAATATTTCCCATTAAAACTACACGTAAACTTTCCCATTGCATCGTAACACTGGTGAGACTCTACGGGCCCCTAACTTAGGGGCCCTAAGCTTAATTTTTTATAAATATTCTTTTTTGCTGTAATTTCATTACAGAAAAATTGTAAATAAGAAATTTATAGGAAATACAATTGTTTAAAAAAAGTTCTTTAAACCTTCTTAAATGACTAGTTAATCCATACAAATTTCACATCACAAATAAGTCAAACCGTACGTAGTATCTTGAGAAATATTAATATTGGAGATTCCTATAAAATTCTATTTACATTTTCCTATAAGCCATTTATAAAATAACAGCAAAAAACAAAAATTGCATACAAAAATTAAGTTTAGGGGCCCTCATCAGTGTGCTGCAATGGGCACTTTTGTAGATCCTTTAATTCTTGGCAAAGTGCTGTTTTAAACGAAATATAAAATGCCGCTAAATTATAGAAATTAAAATCAAGTTTTGTATTTGTATTTTCCGAGGTATAACCTTTCGAGGCTAAGGGAAAGTACTTAATATTAATATTAAAAGCTGAAACATACATGTAATATTTTTTTTACTCTTACAACAAAATTTTGAGGCGGGAGTGAAAAAAATATTTGAAACAATAAAAGCACCCTATTACGTATATATACGCTAAAACTCAAAATCAAAATGCAAAGTATTTGTAAAACAAAAATATAAGTATAAAAAAATGTTGTAGCAATTCATTTTGTTATACAAATTAGGTAAATTGTATTTTATTGCTTTGTGGGCATCCAGGAGGAAGCGATAACAGCATCCGAATTTTGTAGTAGTTGTAGTTTACATTTCCTTGTTTCTTGAATTGTTGTAAATTGAGATTGATAATTTATATTTGCTTTTATAATTGTGTCTGTTATTTTATGATTTAATTTTATAAGGGAAAACTTGCTATGAAAAGCTTTTTACATGATCTAATTAATGATTAAAACATAACTTGAAATAAGCCCGAGGCTCAAAATTTATACTAGTAGGGTAATTAAAAGAATATTTGAGCTATAGTCTTGAAGGCATATGTATTTTTATAGTGTCCAATCAAATTAAAAATGGAAAAATGTTGTTATAGAACACAACTTGTGGTACGTTATTTGTATTGGTTAGTTTAGTGGCATGTAATTTGTATTAAATTAATAATATCCCTATAAACTTCCATTCCTTTGAGGGAGCATTAAGTTTAAAACTTTCCTTAAACACATAGACAAAACCACAATTTCACTGGTATTACTTACCCCGTCCTTATCAGTCTGATCCAATAAATGCGAATGAACGGACAACAAAAGCTCGATGGTTTGAGTGTATCCGTTCATAGCGGCCAAGTGCAGCGGATTCCTGCCGTTGTGGTCCCTGTGCAGGAGCGCTCCCCTGTTTAGCAGGAGCTGCACGAGCCTGGTGTGACCCTGTTGCGACGCAATATGCAAGGGCGTTAGGCCTTCGCCGTCGCCTTCGTTTATTATAAACGTTCCCTTTTCAGAGTCCAGTAATTGTTTTACGGTGTTGTAGCGACCGTATCTGGAAATTTTAATTTAAGTTTTAGACATGTCTGTATTAGTTTTGGAAGCAATTAAAAATTTCTTCCATGTTTTTGTATTGTTAAAAAAATAAAACGTTAATTGCTTTTTATATAAAAAAAGTTATTTGTTTACTCCATAGTTTGTGGAATGTAAATAAAATATAAAGGGTGATTCATGGTGAGGTTTATAATTAAAATATATATATATATATATATATATATATATATACAGGGTGGAAACCTTAACTGGAATAAATTCTGTGTTTTGAAAACCACTTACTTTTTAAAAAAATCCAAAAACAGGTAAATTTATAAATTTACCTGGGTAAATTGTGGTAAATCTTAAAAATATAAGAAACCACCCTTTGAGGGTGCAACCCACCCTAACTTTTTTTTTTAAAGGTATATCAAGTGATACATCATTTGAAAGCTTGTTTTAATAGGAATTCATACAAATATGCAATTTTTAATTATTTTATTTTTGTACAATTATAAATAATAAAAACTTCATTTTATGATAAATATGGATTTATTATAAAAGATGTTCAAAATGAGCTCCTCTGGTTTCTTGACAAAATCCTAGACGATTATAAAATTCATTTTTAACCTTTTCCAACATCTCAGGTAATATTAAATAAGTTTCGTGTCGGATACTCTCTTTAAGATCTTCAATATTAGTTGGTTTGGTTACATAAACTTTATTTTTAAGGTAACCCCACAGGAAAAAATCCAACGGGGTAAGGTCTGGAGATCGGGCTGGCCACTCAACTGCACCTCCTCTACCAATCCACCGATTAGGAAATATTTCATTTAGGTATCGACGAACGGGTAATGCGTAGTGCGGTGGAGCTCCATCTTGCTGAAACCAGACTCTATTATCTGGTAAGTCTGGATCATTCTCGTTTGGAAACTGAACTGCCAAATATGGTATTAGATCTTCTTGAAAAAAAGTTAAGTACCTTTCGCCATTTAGAGTTTCGTTCAAAAAGGCGGGACCAATTATTCTATTACCAATTATTCCAGCCCAAATATTTACCTTTTGTGGATACTGTGTATGATTTTCTTCAATCCAATGAGGATTGCTGTCGTTCCAATATCTACAATTTTGACGATTAACTTCACCATTTAAAGTAAACGTACATTCATCGGAAAATAGTATCTAATCCAAGGAAATTTGGTTATCATTAATAAGGTTCATCATTTGCTCGCAAAATTCAATTCTGCGATCGGTATCATCCCCAATTACTTTCTGTACTGCTTCTTTCTTATACGGATGCATTTTTGAAGCATGTAGTAACTTCATTACAGTGGTGTGGCTCAAATCGTTCTCGCGAGCAATTTGTCGAGCTGAAGTAACAGGATTTTTTTGGATTGCTAATAGTACATTAAGCATCGTATTGTCTTCAACGATAGGCTGGCGTTGTCTAGGAATATTTCTTACATGACCATTTTCGTGATATTTTGCTTCTACTTTACTAACAGTCCCTTGGCAAATGTGAGGCAATTCTGGATGCGTTTCGTTAAATAATCGTGCAACTTCTGTCTGATTTCGACGTCTATCACCAAATCCAATCATCATTAGAATCTGAATACGCAAAGTTTCAGTTAAATAAGACATTTTTACGGTCAATTTAGAACACGTTACATGGCAACTAATTTTAAAGAACTAAAATACATTCTTTCGTTGAATATACAACGTTTTTGGTGGATATAAAAAAAGTATTTATTTCTTTAAGGTACCAAAATAAAATAATTAAAAATTGCATATTTGTATAAATTCCTATTAAAAAGAGCTTTCAAATGATGTATAACTTGATATACCTTTGCATTTGAAAAAAAAATTAGGGTTGGTTGCACCCTCAAAGGGTAGTTTCTTATATTTTTAAGATTTACCACAATTTACCCAGGTAAATTTATAAATTGACCTGTTTTTGAATATCACCGATATCATGGGCTTGAATTTTAGGTAAGAAATATTCTGTTATCATGGCGCGATAAAAAATACTATTACATTTCGACAGCAAGGAAATAGTCTTCAAAAAATTCATAAATCGATTGTTTATTCGGTTCATAATAAAGTTTTGACCATAAACGTTTGAGTTTATATACAAATAAAAAAGTGCTCTTTTAGTTCCACCCTTACTTCCTAAGAAGTCCCAGAAGCCAACTGAATGGCTTGAGCGGGTTAGGGGTAGGAACGGACCGTGGGCTTAAAGTCCCCTCCGAAGGACTAATATACAATAGAACAAACACAAATAAACAGCCATACCCCTGGTGGGATTCGAACCCAGGACCTCTCGGCTTGTAGTCAGCAGCACTAACCACTAGTCCACCGTCGGCGGTATATTTTCCTGAACCTCACAATAAATCAAACTTTATATATAAATGGTTAAGTAAGTAAGTTAGTTTAAAAATGCACAAAAATAGGGGATAAGTCAAATTGTGCGCTAACATGATCCAAATACATTTTCCTATCCGCTTCCGGACGAAATATTTAAGGCATGAGGCTGCATTTTCCTTAAGATGTTTTATTAACCAAAAATAGTTGTTTTGTTTTTAATATAAGAAATAGAAAGGGTTTTTAGTTACTGTTTTTTATATTAATAAATTTTTAATTAAATATTTTAGTGGCAGGATGTAGAAAGCAAGTAATAAACTCATGCAATAGATATTGCCCCTTTTTAGATAGAGGGTGTTAGGTAGTATTTTTTAAATATATTTGTTTTTAATTCTAAAAAACCTTTTGTAAGAGGTAAAATTTTTTATTAATAATAATATTCGATTTTGATAAAATTTTAGATCAATATTTTTTATATATATATCTTAACAATTAAAAGTACATTGCATTTCAAGTGGCAGAAGAGTGCGAAGTTTCCTGCATGAACGAAGCGAGTGTACTCGCAAGTGTAACAACACACTTCTTAGAAATCCCCGCCTTTGTACAATATTTCAAGAGATCTTTAACCTAAGTTGTCAATTTTAAGTACCTATAAGCCATCTAAAAAGAATTAAACATACCAAAAAACACTACATAATAACAACTTTAGCTCTGACATTGTCCATTTCTCGAGAATGTGCCGAAGGGAACTTTTGAGTAGGTTATTTTCTACAATAGTGTCCTTTAAATTATTTATTTCTTTTATATTAGAAGAAATTAAAATAATTACAGCAGGGCAATTCCATTATTACTAACGGGACAAGAAAAAAAACCAAAATGTTTTATCAAAATTTTTGAAGATGTGTTGTTCCTATAATAATAATTTTATGCCAGTCCTCAGCAATGAAATTAAGTAATAAGAACTGTTATAAAATTATTATTATATGAACAACACATCTTTAAAATTTTCATAAAACATTTTGTCTTGTTTTTGTTTGTCCAGTTAGTAATTATGCTCATTTATTTAAAAACATAAAATTTTCTAAAAACTACATTTTTAACATATACCCGTCTTTTCAGCTTAATGCAATGAAAACTAAATGATTTAATTGATTACACGGATGGGTCGGTAGTACTAGACGTCGTCCAGGCCATTTTTGTAATGTTGCACTGTTTAATTTTGAAAAACTATCAACTATCGATTTCTGCGTAATGAGCCCAACCTCTAAAATTTTAAATTGCATAACTTTATTTAAAAAGTATTTGTACCCTGACTAACATAGACATGATATTTATCTAATAAATTGTCTAAGAATGATTTAAAATTAAAATGAATATATCGAAAATAAATCTATAGATATTACAATATTATAATATTATAATTATAATATTGTAACATATATGTTATGTCACGCAATCATTTTGGGGATATATCAAAATCAAAGTAGTATTACGGTATCTTGATTAGTTATATTAATTTAAAATATAAAAATATATTAACTTTGTCAGCTTTAAAGCCCTACAACTTTAAAAATTCATCAAACAACACTTATTACCTACCTAATTTAGATTTGCTTCATTGAACTAAGCTTCAGTTTATTTATTATTTAAAGTTTATAAAGGATGAAAAGCTTGCAGTATACAAAAACATAACTTTTGAATTTTGGCTCCTGCAAGTTTTGGAACAATAGTACTGGAAACAATTAAAAATGATGATACTTGCTTTTTATGACGATAATTGCTTTTTATATGAAAACAAGTTCTCTTTTTACTATATTTCTAGAATGTAACTAAAAACCAAAAGAATATAAACTGTAGACACATATATGTAGTACCTATACTTTAAAGTAAATAAAAAAAGTTTAAAGAAAGTAACGAAATAAAGTTTAAAAATAGGTTCCTTTATAATTAAAATGTTTCATAAAAATATGGATGATGAGCAGTATACTGCAGTATAGGTAATATACTATATATATATATGTGTACACTGAGAAAAATGAGGTTGTTAATTTAACACTTACGGGAATGTTATTCTTATTTTTGTTAAATTAAAAATTATTTTTTTGAAACAAATAAAAAAGAAATCTTAACCAAACAGAAGTTGTTATAGAAGAGTGCTTATATCCAGTGGCGTAGCGTGGGTGTCGGCCTCCCGGGGTGGAAGACAATTTTGCCGCCCTCTTATTTAGGTATTTCAATTTAATGTTTACTATACATTACATACATTAATTCTAGAGAAGACTTAAGATTAGGTACAAATTGACGATCGACAATATTAAATAATTAGCTAATTGAATATAGAACGCAAATCAATTTTTAATAAAAACTAGAACTATGCTATTATGTAATATTTATATTTTTATTGAAAAAAAATATAAGTACTAATAAAATTCCGTGGTTTTTTTTTGAATCGCTCCGAATTTGTAGTTGAGATAAAAATATGAAATGGTTCAAATATTTTTATTATTTATTGTGAAATTTTGCCGCCCCCTAAAAGGTGCTGCCCGGGGCGGGGCGCCCCTGCCGCCCCCACTACGCTACGCCACTGCTTATATCAAAGATTTTATTCATTAATTTAATGTCTGAACTGCATTAATTGAAATCATTGTACATTTTTGTAGT